TCGCCTCGAGAAATATTTGTTCGATACTCGGCTCGTTTCTTAATGAGCTGACTCGTTAGCTCACTCGTTTTCTAATGAGCCTAACATGAGCTAGGTCTAGCTCAACTCGTCAGGCTCGCAATCTAGCTCGGTCCGATGGCTCATTGAGCCTAGCTCGCGAGCTAACTCGATAACGTGATTCGCGAGCTATATTGACAAGCCAACACAATTAGCTTGTGGGATAATTTACTGATGATTAATGGGATGATTAATGTACATGCTTCATCATAAAGTAAAGTGAGAGTTTGCTTACACGACTAAACATATATCTCACATAATTTGTAAGGAATATAACATATATTATATTAACTAATTACTTAAATATTTGCAATATACAAACCACACAATTACTATATTGAAATTGTGCATATAAAATACAAACGTGCATAACCTATATATGTGAATAACCTAATTTACTTGATAATTAATTTATGGAATTATGATTGTGCATATAATTACTTACTAACTTAATTCCAATCATGCCACTTAGTGATGAAAAGTATAATAGGAAGTAGAGCTGGATTGGAAACCCTCAAACAGAGGTCGAGGCATAGGTTACTACAGAGAGAAAGGAAGAGGAAGAGCTCGAGGAGCATATGAAAGCAGAGATGGAGGAAATGTCACAACGAACAACTACGAAACGTCCTCCAGAGGCAGGGTCGTGGCCATGGATGTGGAAGAGGAAGTTAAAGATCAAATGAAGGCCATGATAAATCCAATGTCAAGTGCTATAATACTCGAAATAAGGGCATTAGGCATCGAATTGTTGGAGTCCACCTAAAAACAAGGGGAGGAGACAACAAATAACGTGCAAGAAGAAGAAGTCAAAGGACTGATGTTGTCACATCAAGGAGATGATAAACCGAGAGATAATATGTGGCATCTCGATAATGCTGCAAGCAACCACACGTGTGGTAAAAGAAACATATTCGTGGAAATGGATGAATAGGTGAAGGGAAATGTCGTATTTGGAGACTTCTCGAAAGTTCCTATCAAAGGGAGAGGAACTATACTCATCCGACTCAAGAATGACTCACAACAATTTATCAGTGATTTGTACTATGTCCCAGATATAACTAGTAACATGCAATCTGAGTTTGGGTCAGCTGATGGAAAAAAATTATGAAGCTCACATGGTGAATCGTCAATTGGAGCTGCTAAATGAAAAGAAACAGTTGTTGGCCAGAGTCCCAATGTCGAGAATAGAATGTTCACCCTAAACATTCAAGCAGAAATGGCTAAGTGCCTGAAAGCGTGTGTTAAGGACACTACATGGCTATGGCAACTGAGGTATGGCCATATGAATTTTGAAGGCTTGATTGCTCGGTCAGAAGAAGTTGGTGCATGGTCTGTCGGTGATCTATCATCTTGACCAGTTGTGTGAAGGTTGCTTACTTGGGAAGCAATTCGGGACAAGTTTCTCAAAGGAGTCCCTGTGACGAGCTAAAGCACCACTTGAGCTCGTACATGCAGATCTCTGCGGACCGATCACTCCAACATCATTTGGAAAGAACAAATATTTTATGGTGTTCATTGATGACTATAGTACAAAGACATGGGTGTACTTCTTGAAGCAGAAGTCAGAAACATTCGCAGGTTTCTCAAAGTCCCAAGATCCCCACAGTAGAATGGAGTAGTTGAGAGGAAGAATAGAATTGTCCTCAACATGGTGAGAAGCATGTTCGAAAGTGTCGGATATGTGCACGTACCGGATTAAGAAAGTAAGATGTTGGATGATAAAAGCAAGAAGTACTTATTCCTGGGATACTCTGAACATTCTAAGGGGTACAAGATGTTTGATCCTGTGGAATAGAAGGTGATCATCAGCAGAGACGTAATAGTTGATGAAGAAGCAACATGGGATTGGACTGCTGAAGCACAACAGAATTATACCTTTTATCCATTCATTATGGATGAAAGTGATGATGAACTAGACACAACTACACCTATATCGATTTCACCCAGTCATAGAGAACCTGTCAGCCCAGAAGGAAGTTCAAGTGAAAGTCCAAAAGAAAGGCCACAGAAGTATAGACGTCTTGAAGATTTTTATGAGGAAACTACAACCATTGAAGGTTATGAATTGACACTGTACTTTCATTTCATCGATAATAAACCAGTGGATGCTGAAGAAGCCATGAAGGATGAAAAATGGAGAAAAGCCATGAATGAAGACCTGGGAGCTTGTGCACTCCCTGAGAACCAGAAGCCAATTGGTGTTAAATGGGTGTTTAAGGCAAAGAAGAATGCAAAATGAGAAGTTGTGAGACACAACGAGATTGGTGGCTAAAGGATATAGTCAGAGACCAGGCATTGACTATAATGAAGTATTTGCTCCCATGGCATGAATAGAGAATATCAGGATGGTGATATCTCTAGCTGATCAAAATGGATGAAAGATACACCAGATAGATGTAATGTCAGCATTTTAGAATGGATATCTCGAGGAAGATATCTATGTGGAACAACCCCCTGGATATGTCATTGAAGGTCAAAAAGATAAGGTGTTGAAGATAAAAAGGGCACTGTATGGTCTGAAACAAGCACCGAGAGCTTGAAATAGCAGGATTGACAAGTACTTTTACCAGAAGGGATTCCGGAAATGTCCACATGGGCATGCCTTATACTGCAAGGTGCAAGGGGGAGCAAACCTAATGGTTTGTCTGTATGTAAATGATCTCATCTTTGCAGGCAATGATCCTCAAATGTTTGAAGAGTTCAAGAAGACAATGGTTCATGAGTTCGAGATGACTGACATTGGACTGATGTCATACTATCTCGGAATTTAAGTAAGTCAAAAGGAAGAAGGAATTTTCATCTCACAGAGTGGTTTTGCCAAGGAAGTCTTGAAGAAGTTTAAAATGGAAAATTGTAATCCTGTAAGTACACCAGGTGAATGTGGACTGAAATTATCCAAGGATGACAAAGGAGAGAAGGTCAAGTCAACGGAGTTTAGAAGTTTTGTGGGAAGTTTGAGATACCTGACTTGTACTAGACCAGATATTCTTTATGCAGTTGGATTAGTTAGAAGATACATGGAGGCACCAACTACGTCACACTGGAATGCTGCTAAGAGGATATTGCACTATGTCAAAGGTACAATCGATAATGGTCTATTTTATACTATAAGTCAGAAAATTTCAAATTGGTTGGATACTGCGATAGTGATTGGGCAGGAGACGTGGATGATCGCAAGAGCACTACAAGATTTGTATTCTTTATGGGAGATACATCTTTCACATGGAGTTCAAAGAAGCAAGCTATCGTGACACTATCTAGTTGTGAAGCTGAATAGGTTGCTGCAACATCGTGTGCATGTCCTGCGATATGGTTACGGAAGTTACTGAAGGAGTTGAACATGACACAAGAAGAATCAACTGAAATATTTGTGGATAACAAGTTTGCCCTGGCGTTAGCAAAGAATCTGGTGTTTCATGATCGAAGTAATCACATTGATACAAAATACCATTTTTTAAGAGAATGCGTGGAGCAGAAAGAAGTTATGCTAAAATATGTGAAGACTGAAGACCAGATTGCTGATATCTTCACCAAGCCGCTGAAGCAAGACATGTTCGTCAAGATGAGGATGCTCGGAGTAATGACGAATTAAACTTTAAGGGGGAGTGTTGAAATTAAATGTTAACGGATTGGCTATTAAATTATTTTCAGAAAACTTTGGCTATTATTTTGTTTAAAACGAAAGCTTTGATTTTTTTCACTATCACTTGACAAGATCGAAACTCTTTTATCTAATTATTTTTATAGTTTCAAGATTTTTTTGATAAATAAAACAACAAAACAGAAAAAAGAAAGTTTATAATCTTCTAAAAGAAAAAATAATTATACAAAGAAAAAAATGAATTTAACTCCACTGCTTCGCCTAGCAGCACGACGCTTGTATTTGCTCTCTCATAACCCCGTTTTCACGATTTAGGCTGCTCCCATTTCGCTCGCCGCTACTATGGGAATCGCTTTTGCTTTCTTTTCCTTTGGTTACTAAGATGTTTCAGTTCGTCAGGTTGTCTTTTGCCTTCACATGGATTCAGTAGCAGTGAAGATGCGAACTACCTGCACCTGGACAGAAAGACCCTATTAAGCTTCACTGTTCCCTGGGATTGGTTTTGGGCCTTTCCTGCGTAGCTTAGGTGGAATTATTGTATCAAATTTCTGCGTAGTATTATCCATTATAAAAGATTTTTCTACCATTTGACTTCGTAAGACCGAAGGATAATACGATTAAAGCACATAATAGAATACTTATTAAACATGGGCATATATAACTCAACTCAAATCCTGTTGCGGCCGTCCGAGCTCTTCCCGCGTGCCATAAATTACCCACGAATAGGAAGAACCAGAGAACAAAATGAGAGGTAACTATTCATTTTTATTCTACATTCAAAACATAATCAAATTTGAATTGAGAAAAGAAATATGATAAGCATATAATATAATTAATATAAAAAGAATAAAGAATAATGGTAATGATATATTATATATTAGGTTGGAAACTAATACGTGTGAATTTCTAGTGATTGTGCAGAGTCCTGGTTTCACGGCGAGCCTTAAATTGTTGCCGTGACAAACTAATCTTACTTCCACAGTCACATCCTAAATGCCAACAAACAAAATCTACTTGGGCAGGAATATAATATAACATAATATAATAGTCACAATGCTCTGGTCTGGTCTGCTAATAGTGACAAATGAAGGCACAACCCTTGCCTCGCCTAACCAGAACTGAAACTAATGCAAGTAAGGCCACAAAAGCGCATGCAGCTATGCCCTATAAATAACCCCCATTTCTGTCCCCACAAAATCACTCATGAAAACAAACACACTACTACCAAATCCAATACTAACGTAACCAACCCACGCAGAGGCAGCGAAAGAAGAGAGGCATGTCTCCCTACGCTTTCCTCGTGGCTGTGGCGGTGGTGAGCGCCCAGCTGGCAGCCACCGCAATGAGCAAGGAGAGCTCGGTGTTGTACACGGTGACCAACGCGGCCAACAACACGGCTGGTGGGTCCCGATTCGAGACGGACATCGGGGCCAAAGTCGCCCGGCTGACCATGTACGCGGCCACGCGCTCCACGTGGAGCGTGTTCAACCAGACCGACGAGGGTTCGGAGGAGCGGAAGAAGATCAGCGCGATCAGCCTCTTCATCGAGGACATGATGACGGCCGGCGGCGAGAACCAGACGGAGCCGGGAATGTTGGTGGGGTACGCCAAGGGCACGTCGATCCACCTGAACGCCCACTTCATCGGGAACTACAGCGGCAACCTGCGGAGGCAGTTCAACGGCGTGATCTACGAGAAGGTGGCGAGCATCTGGCAGTGGGACGCGCGTGGGGAGGCGCCGGCGGGGCTGATAACGGGGATAGCCCACTACGTGAGGCTGCAGGCCCGCTACGGTACGCCGGAGAAGGTGAAGCCCGGGGAGGGGGAGCGGTGGGACCAGGGGAACGGGGTCACGGCCAGGTTCCTGAGCTACTGCAATCAGCTGAGGAGTGGGTTCGTGGCGGACATGAACAGGAAGCTCAAGCACGGCTACACGGATGGCTACTTCCTGGACTTGCTCAAGATGCCCGTGGACCATGTTTGGGCCAACTACAAGGCCAAGTACCACTACAAGTAGTAGCTACCTAGCTTGACACTCTTATCTATCTATCTATGTACGCGCGGCCAGCCAGGGTTGGGTTGGGCTTCGATTTTATTGCTCACGGCAGGCAGGGGTGAACAGCTATGCGGTTTCAGCTTTCTACTTGTTTGAGTTGAGTTATTACGTTATTAATTAAACATCATCAGTTTTGCTATCGGAGTATCTACATTCCATGCATCCAAGTGTTGGTCCCGGATCGATCCATATATAGCTGCATAATATCACTTTCTCATTAAAATTTAACAGATTCTTCTCATTCGTTTAATTTATTAATCTTTTTGCAAACACACATAATTTAATTAATTATTCTCCACAAAACAACTATCAGTTTGAGAGGTAGGCAAATAACTATGTCGAGAGGGAAGAAGCAATACTTTTAACTAGTTAACAAACATACAATCAAAAGGTACATTCTTCTAGCCTACAGTTTCGTGAAGCCTTTTGGATTCTCTAGCCATAAAAAGCTTTATCTTGGCTTTGATCAATGAAACAAAACAACAGTATCCATCTATACCAGCTACCATTAAATTTAAATAAAAAACTAGCAGCTTGTTATAAGTAACGATGACCTTGTAGACACCATAATACAGGAGCACAAAATCTTAGTGGCTGATGATATGCAGTTGCAAAGATGTTTGGAGCTTACTTGCATTATCCATCTCAGCTCTTAGTAGTAGCAAAATCGTAGCTATAGAGAAAACATAAAGGAGAAAAGCTTCAGAAATTAAATTGCAGAAAACCTGCTGTATACCATAAGCTATACAGAAACCGTAGAAACCCAGTATCAACCAAAAAGCCCATAGAAAAACAGAGCATATCAAGTTATGCATTTTTCAGCTTTTGACATAGATATGGACGTACAACTAGTCTAAATCACATATAATAAGCAACATGTGTAGCATATCTCTGCAAGAAAACATTAATGCAATAACTCATGCTAAACTGTCAAAAGTTCTAGATATTGAGGATTGAGAAACAGTCTTGTTAAAAATCAAATGGTATGAGTATTGAGGGAAAAAGTTCAATATCTGATCGTACCCTTCACTTATGCTTTTTAAGACTTTTCTCCCGCAGAACCCTTTGCCACTTCTTATGTTGGCACCTTGTAGGTTATGATGAGTGATTCGGCCCTAAATGTACACTTCTCATCCTCATTTATTTTTTGCGTTTATGGCATTTGAGCTCCGAATGGTGTGGTTTTACGCTAGGTTTGTTGTGTTTCAGAATCTAACAGGTGGAACCAAACTCGGAGTCGAATGTTGGAAGAAATGGCGAGAAGATCGGACCCAAGGAGGAAGCAGCCGAAGATCACGGTCTAGGAAGAAAGTTCATGGTCATCTGGACCGTGAAATGGAGCCATAAACTGTGAACTGGCAGGGTTCCAGAGCGGTTTTACAGGTTACTGGCATCAACCCAGTTCACGGTCTTGCGACCGTGAACTGAAGTCATGGACAGCGAACCAACTCAATAAAACGGCGCGAATTGGTTCGAGTTCACGGTCTCCACCATTAGTTCACGACCGTGAACTAATACGTGAACTGGGCTCGATTTATGTATAAAAGGAGAGCTGAAAGGAAGAAGAAAGGAGAGCCCCAAATGGAGAGAAACCTTCTTCTTCTTCAAGAATCTAGAGAGAGAAAGCCACAAACCAAGAGGGAGAAGAAGCTAGGGTTTGCTCCAAGTCAAGATTTGGGAAGATCCTCTTCAAGAGAGGATTGAGGCATGACAATGATGGTTCTTTCCTCTACCTTTGTGTTCTTCCTTCTTCTAGCATGGAGTAGTCTCCTATTCACTTAGGTTTTGTAGAACCCTAACTTCTACCATGTAGTTAATTGTGTGGATTGAATGATTGTGTGTGGGTGGTGTTTAATTTTAGATTTGAGGTATATTTCATGGTGATTGTGCATTATGTGTGCTTGGCAATCTATTGTGCGATTCTAACCTAGTTTAGAGAGAAATCCCCTTTTCTTAAGAGGCTCAAATTGAGATGGGTTTTCTTGGGCATTCCACGCCTCCTGTCTTGGTTAATCTAGGGTAAATATCTAAACACAAATTGAATACCTAGGTTAATTGTGATTAAGCCGTCCAAACCGCCAGTTTGAGGGAGAAGGTAAGTCAACCCTTAATTGCTTGTTGTCAAGAGGGCTACATTTGTAGCCTATAATGCATTCCTTGGCCTAACAATTGAGAGTGTGGTTTCTAACCAATGTTGCTCCTCCTAGCGATTCACAATCGCCTTTTCCCACACTTATTCATTCGATCCCACTCACAAACAACAATCCGCTAGATAATATTTCAAACAATCGAAGTAGGGGTACATGGGTCGGGCCGGATCAATATCTAAATATACTTGCCCTATATTGCACCCGTTTAAGGTTTATAATTGAGTCTTAGGTGGGATTTAATTGTACTAATCGGGTTGAGTCAAGTTTTTGGTGCCGTTGCCGGGGAGCTTTGTTCCGTTATTCTGAAAATATTGTTTGGTGTTAATCTGACTTTTACTTTAAGTTTTGATTGTGTGAAGTGTTGCTTGTGCTAGACATATTGTGGTTCTTTTGAGTGTGTAGGACGATGTATGACCTGGAGTAATCCGATACCTTTGGTGCCGCTCGATGGGGATGCATGGGAAAGATTCTTGGATTACTTCCTCCAATTCCCTCACCATTGATTCGAGGAGAAATTTCGGATAGAGACCTTCTATGGCAGGATCATTCAAGATGACAAGATTCTCATCGACTCTCTTTTCCAAGGGAAGTTGATGAACATGAATCCACCTCAAGTGACCGAGTTGCTTGAAGCACCAAAAGAGGAGTGCGAAGTTTGGGAGCAAGTGATCAACTTGAAGCTAAGCTTAAGTTGATTGAGGTGATCCTCGAGGACAAGAAGCAAGGGAAGAAATCGTTGATGTCTTGTGATTCGTGTTCTAGCACTAATCATGAAATTGCGGATTGCCAAGCAATAAACGAAGAAAGTACCCCCAAGGAGCAAGTGAGTTTCATTGGCAATGCTAGAGGGAACAACCCTTATAGCAACACCTACAACCCCGGATGACTCAATCATCCAAACTTCGCTTGGTCTTCCTCTACCAATCAGAGACCCCCCCCCCCCCCGGGTTTCCAAGTTCTGATGGCCAAATATCAACCTCGGCCAACTTTCATCCAACAAAGGTCTCAGTTCCAAAAATCGAACTTCCAAAAACCATACCAACCACAAGGTGGTCAAGAGTTCTAACAACCCGACAAGTTTGCTAAGTTTGAAGATCTAGTGACCACCTTTGTGAGCACAAGCTCTCAAAAGTTCGAGAAGATCGAGCAATTCATGGATGTGGCGACCTCAAAATTTACCTCGATCGAGGAGGGACTCGGAAGTCATCAAGCAAGTCTTCAGAACTTGGAGATGCAAATTGGTAATCGTGTCGGGATCCTCACCGAGAGACCAAGGGAAGCTCTACCTTCCCAAATCATTGCAAACCCCAAAGAACAAAATGTCGGGGTAAATGTGATTCAATTAAGAAGCGGGAAGGTGACTCCTAAGGTTGTTGCCAAAGAAGTGATCGAGAAGGAAGACTCTCTACCCGAGGATGGAGATGAAGAAATATCGGGAGAAAAGAAAGGAGTGGCGAGGAAGGCATCGCCAACGCCACCTCCAGTGGCTGAGTACACGCCACCCCTTTCTTTTCCCACGAGGGTGCACAAAGAAATATTGAAGGCGGAATGTGGAGGTTTCATGGAGATGCTCAGAATACTCCATCTCAACATTCCCTTCCTTGAAGCAATGCCCCACATGCCATGGTATTCAAAACAACTCAAGGGGCTTCTCTCCAAGAAGCCAAAATTCCAAGACCTCACCAATGTCACCCTAAGCGAAGAGTGCTCCGCCTTCATTCTCAACAAGTTGCCCAAAAATCTAGGTAGTTTCACCATACCTCTTTGCATTGGTACTCATCACATAGAAAATTCCTTGGCGGGCTTAGGAGCAAACATTAATTTGATGCCCTTTAAGCTTTTTAAGAAGCAAGACATAGGTGAACTAAAGACTAGTAGGCTTAGTGTCACATTGCTCGATCGCTCTGTCATTAGTCCTAGGGGCATTGTGGAGGACATGTAGTACGAGTGGGAAAATTCTGTTATCTGACAAATTTTTTGATCCTTGATATAAGTGAAGATTCAAAAATGCCACTCATTCTAGGACGCCCCTTCCTTTCCACCGCCAAGGCTTTAATCGATGTTAATGAGGGAACTTTAATTCTGAGAAATGGTGAGGAGAAAATTACTCTTTGAATTGAACCCAAGTCTAGGAGTGAGGATGTGAAGGAAGCGGAATCAAATGATATGAATGCAAGTGGAGCAGAGCGTCTCAAGGTGAACCCCACTATTACTCTTGTTCCTTGTAGTGATGTGAAGCAGGAATTTAAGGAGGGTATCACACCCAAAGAAAGGAGGAAGAAATCTTGGAGGGGATGGATGAATCGCGTTATTTCCCGGAACAAGGACAAGGGCAAGCAACATCGGCCAAGAAGGCCACCTATGGAGTTTAAATATAAAAACACATTCAATTTTAAAAATATAATAAAATAGTTTTCAAAGTAAAGTCAGGTGGAGAGGGCGTTGTGACTCACTCCTACTGTCACTCTAGAAAATGGCCAAGTGTAACCACTTCCTAAAGCGTAGTATAGCGGGTTTGGGTTTTAATGTCAACCCGGGTCCTAGATTTGATGACTACTCGGTGAATTCTTGTTATCTAGCAGTGAAACTTTAGTGCAGATTCAAGCAAACAAAAACACAAAGCAAGTTAAACGGTTGTTTCAAGTCGAGAAAGGTCACCCGGATATGGTTCCCCCTAGACTGCAGTTAAGCCGGATTGCAATTTACCAAGTTCAGTTTTCATGAAAGTTATACTGCGGAAGGTTCTAAAACAGTCTGAAGTCTCGACTAAAGGTCTTCAGACCCTCTCAATCTGAGTCCCTAGCGGGCGAC